AGCATTCTGAACTCCAACTTGGCACACAGGACTCCCATGACCAACAGAAAACACTAGAAGGGTTTGGTGGGCATTGACCTTGAGTTTGGGAGTTGTAGTTCACCTACATCCAGAGAGCACTGTGGACTCAAACAAGGATGGATCTGGACCAAACTTGGCACGAATATTCCATATGCCCAAATATGAACACAGATGGAGTTTGGGGGAAATAGACCTTGACATTTGGGAGTTGTAGTTACTGGGATTTATAGTTCACCTACAATCAAAGAGCATTCTGAACTCCACCAATGATGGAATTGAACCAAACATGGCATACAGGACTTCCCATGACCAACAGAACACACTGGAAGGGTTTGGTGGGCATTGACCTTGAGTTTGGGAGTTGTAGTTCACCTACATCCAGAGAGCACTGTGGACTCAAACAATGATGGATCTGGACCAAACTTGGCACGAATATTCCATATGCCCAAATATGAACACAGATGGAGTTTGGGGGAAATAGACCTTGACATTTGGGATTTGTAGTTACTGGGATTTATAGTTCACCCAATTAAAGAGCATTCTGAAACCCACAAACGACAGAAATGGGGCAAACTTCCCACACAGAACCCCCATGACCAACAGAAAATACTTAAGGCCATCCAGTCCAACTCTCTTCACCAGAGCAAGAAAATGTAATCAGAGCCCTCCTGACAAAGAGCCATCCAGTCATAAATATATAGATAGATATGATTCTCACACACACAGATATAGTATCATAGATTTGAAAGAGACCCTTAAAGAAGGACAATGATATGTTGCATATTCCAGAGTAGGCAAACCAGACACTCTCCACATCAACACTGACAAAGAAACAACAAGAAATACTGTTTACTCACAAGCAGAAAGGAATTACTTATATTAGAAACCAACACTTTCTCATTACTTTATTTTCCAAATCACCAGACTGGGCCACAGCAACGCGTGGCAGGGGACAGCTAGTAATAATAACATGCAGCAAAGAGACTAATTTCAATACAAGTAATTTTTTTGTCATGTCAGGGGCAACTTGAGAAACTGCAAGTCGCTTTTGGTGTGAGAGAATTGGCCGTCTGCAAGGACGTTGCCCAGGGGACGCCAGGATGATTTGATGTTTTATCATCCTTATAAAAGTAATTGGTTTAGTTTGGTGCAAAGGCTGAATGGTTGCCCACATATGGAAGTTTCTAAAGTGGGCCTTCTCTGGACAAGGTGTTGAAACAATGGAATGGATAAGTCAAAAACAATAGTAGGGTTTGTTGTCGAAGGCTTCCATGGTTGCTGTGAGTTTTCCAGGCTCTATGGCCATGTTCCAGAAGCATTCTCTCCTGACATTTCACCTGCATCTATGGCAGGCATCCTCAGAGATTGTTAGGTCTGTTGGAAACTAGGCAAGTGAGGTGTATATATCTGTGGAGCATCCAGGGCAGGAGAAAGACCTCTTGTCTGAGGCAGGTGTGAATGTTGCAATTGGCTACCTTGATTAGCATTGCATAGCCTTGCAGCATCAAACATAATTCCACAGATATATAAACCTCCCGTGTCTAGTTTCCAACAGATCTCACAACTACTGAGGATGCCTGCCATAGATGTGGGTGAAACATCAGGAGAGAATGCTTCTGGAACATGGCCATACAGCCCGGAAAACTCACAGCAACAGATTCAAAAGCACTACACTGATCAAACCCTTGGTTATTACAAAAAATGGGCCTTACTCATGGTGAGTTAGTGCAACGGTAAACAGAAAAGAAAAGAAGTATCAGATGAGTTATTTTTTTTCCAATGCATGGTTCCTAACAATATACAATATTTATATTGTAAACTGCCCGAGCCTTCGGGGAATGGCAGTATATAAAATTGATTAATAAATAAATAAAATAAATAAATAAACAGATTTCTATCTCCCAGATTCTGAAATCCAGTCACTGATATCTGAGAGTACAGACTGGAGCATGAATGTGGTGAAGACCAACCCTAACAATCTGCAAAAGTCATATTCAAATCAGGTTTACCGCGTGGTGATCGTCACTGTCACCACTTAGATGTGACCCTCCAGTTGAGAATGGTGAGGTGAAAACATACAGACCACTTTGGGGTTAGCAATTAGTATATATTAAAACAACAACATCATCATTTATTACGTTCCGTAGACCCATTAGTAAAAGCAACAGTCTTTATAAATTCTCCCATCTCAGGAGAAGTCCGCTGTTCAAGATACATCTAGATGGTCTCAAGTAATACCCATATCAAAGGTTAGTTGCTTATTAAAACATAAATTTTAAGAAATCCATTCAATCCTGATTGTAAGTATGCTTATTTGGAAACAGATTTCCATCAAGTTGAATTGGGCTGACAGTAAAAGTGCAACTCTAGGTCTTGAACATCCCCCCCCTCGTTCAAACACAAGTTATGTCATAGGGAGGAGAGAGAAAGCTTGTTTTCTGCTGCCCTGGAGACTAGGAGGCAGAAAAATAGCTCCAAACTACAGGAGATTCCACTTGAACATGAGGAAAAACTTCCTGACTGTGGGAGCTGTTCAGCAGTGGAACTCTCTGCTCTGGAGTATGATGGAGGCTCCCTCTTTGGAGGCTTTGAAGCAGAGGCTGAATGGCCATCTGTCAGGGGGTGCTTTGAGTGCAATTTTCCTGCTTCTTAGCAGGAGGTTGTACTGGATGGCCCACAAGGTCCCTTTCAATTCTAAGATTCTATGATTCTAAGTTTGAGATCTATAGTCCACTTTGAATAATGTGCTGTTCATACGGCAAATAAATGATGCAAATAAAGTACTTCTGATGCAGTCCTAACAACACTTGTTGCTTTGGATCAATCCCTATATATACCCATAGATCAGCGGTCCTCAAACTACGGCCCGGGGGCTGGATGCGGCCCACCAAAGTCATTTACCTGCCCTCACTCAGGGTCAACCTGAGTATGAAACTACTTGAAAGCTCACAATAATAACAACAATCCTATCTCATCAGCCAAAAACAGGTTCACACTTTTCATTGAAATACTAATAAATTTATATTTGTTAAAATTGTGCTTAATTTTAATTATTGTATTGTTTTTAAATGTTTTTGGTGCTACAAATAAGCTATGTGTAGTGGGTTGTTTTAGGTTTATTCGGGCTATATGGCCATGGTCTAGAGGCATTCTCTCCTGATGTTTTGCCTGCACCTATGGCAAGCATCCTCAGAGGTAGTGAGGTCTGTTGGAACCTACCTCTGAGGATGCTTGCCACAGATGGGTAATCTGGCGTTTGGGTAATCTGGCAGATAAATAAAGGACAACGACTACTGATAGGAATGGACAATGTGGAATGAATTTATGGATTCTGAGCTGGCGAAAGTTGAGCATGAGATTGATTTTATTGACTGTGATACATAATTGATTGTTTTTAACTGTTAAAACTGTTTTAATTGCTGTTTATATATGTTTATCTGTATTATTTTGTAGGCATCGAATTGTGCCTTTTGTAAGCCACCCTGAGTCCCCCCCTCGGGGGTTGAGAAGGGCGGGGTAGAAATACGCAAAATAAATAAAATAAAATTTGGCTCATGTTTAACTTATTGTTCACGAGGACTCAGAGATCTTTTTCACACAAACAGGAGTACCTCATTTCTCAACGTAAACGTCTCCTTAACGTGAACACAAGAAAGGCATGCAATATTTGAAGACACTTTTTTATTGTTCCAAATTTGAGAGTTAAAAATAAATTTTAAAAGATGGCAGGCAATGTCTATCTCTGTTTGCTGTTGTTCTTAAAAGGAGCCTGCCAGCGTGAGGTCTTTACACACACTGTGGGATTGTTGCAACAGCTTGTACAAGGCAACAAAAGACCTCCTTTGTCTATCCTCAGCTGTTGGATCTGTTGCGGCTACATGTCAGCGCACTATTTCATCACTCAACCAGGTGCTTTATCCTCTGAAGCAAAGCCTGGTATAGATCCAAGCGTGCAAGATATGAATCTAGTCTGGTTTGACAAGAGCTGAGCCTAGTGGAGCGCTGCCTATCCGTGGTAATAATCTGGCCCGTCTTGTTGAAAGGGGTCAGGAA